AACAGTAGGTATAGGCCAGGCAAAGTTAGGTGCCTCATGAGACTTGGGAAGCAGCTGGAACTGAACCCTGTCCCTGCTCTGAGTCCTCAGGTGCCTTAAGTGACTTAGTTCCATGTACCTCAGTGTCCTCATTTCTAAAACAGGGATGAAAGCAGAACCTTCCTCGGGCGAGCACCATGCACACTAAATTAGCATTTACTATGTATAAAGTTCTTACCATAGTGCCCCGTGCATAGTTAGTGCCCACTGCCTGCCTGAGAGTTGGAAAAAAGCATAGCTCAGACAGACTACGCAGGAAAGGGGTGTGCAGAGGTCTGAGGCTTGGCCTTGGACTCCAAGCATCTTCCCATTCCTAGCCCTTTGCAGTTCACTGGGCAGATGGCCAGCGCCTGTCTCTGAGTGTGACCCCCTCCACCTAAAGACATCCGCCTCGGAATCTTCCCCATAGCAGGCAGAGGCTCTTTGAGGAATTATTCCTCCCCGGCTCTAAGGAATGTTATTTTCTCTTTACTTGATGTCTAGATTACTCATTTTCAGTCCAGCTTTCAAGTGACCTCCAAAGACGAGCTCTGATTAAATTCCCATAAAACCACAGGCAAGAATGCTCAGTCTGTGGCTTGCACACCCCTCACCTGGGAGGCCTGGTGTCCAGGACAAGCCATTTGTCTCCCCGGAACACATGTGTGGGAACTTCAGGAGAAGAATTACAAGAGAGCCACCCCTTACCCCAAAGTCATCAGAGCTCCCAAGGACCTCTCCAGCCCATTGCCCTGTGGCTCAAGACCCTCTCATCTGCTTTCCCTATGACAGGGCACAATCCCAGGACATCCAATCATGGCCCAGGCACCTTCTTGCACATAGCTTCAGCCAGTTCAGAGTCAGCTATAGCCTTGCCCAGAATAGCCCAGCCTGGGCTGGTGATTGGACTTGAGGTTTCTATCTGGCCTGGCCTGGCATGGCAGAGTGAGCAGTCAACAGAAGAAATGGCCTAAAAATCTAAGCCACACAGATCACAGTTGGTCACTGGGGCCTCCTCCCTCCCTTCCTGCCCCAGGCCTGTACCAGGAGGCTTCTGTGTTCGGTTCAAATTGAATCCAGGCCCAGTGTCACCTGTACCTCTGCCTAAGGGACGTGGGGGTGGGTGGAAGTGTGTCTCCCAAATGGCAGCCTCTCAGAAGCAATTTTCTATAAGGGAAAGGAATGCCCCAGCATGCAGAGTGTGTCCCTCTGTAAGCCTCCTGGGCTCTTGGTTTCCAGTGGCTGCACAGAGGGGCCTGCCAGTGAGTTCACAAGCTAAGGCCCTACCCCTTGCCATTCAGGAGACAAATGGTCATTCTAACGTGGATCCCCAGGCGGGAGCCTATGTTTTACAAGGTGACATGGTAGACAGCTCAGATTTCTCTAAAACTCATTTTACCCCTCTTCCCATGGTGACATAACAACTGAATTTTAGCTGGGCACATGGCTGTCCAGAACAAGGACTGTATTTCCCAACTCTGCTGCAGCTCAATATGTGACTAATTCTGACCAGTGATGTGAGAACAGGCTGTCACGTTGTAGCTTCCAGAACCCTTCCTTAAATGATAACTAGGGCTTACTCCCCTTTGCTTCCTTGTTCTTAGTTGTGCTGTCCATCCTAACGTCTAGATCTTAGATGAAAGGGCTGGAAGTTTAGCCACCATGTGGGATCAGGAGGGCCATGCTAGGGAAGAATGGGGAACTGGGAGGAGCCGAGGTCCCTGCCACCACACACCAGAGCTGCACGGCCTTCCTCTGCGCTTTTGCCTGAGTCATTTAAGCCGCCATTATCTTAGATCTCTGCTCTTGCTAACTGAATGGATGGGTTTGGGCTGGATAGATCTGAGGCACAACAATGACACTGCTCTTCTCTGGGCTCTGATTTACATAAGGCTGTGCTCTGGAAATAGGGACTAAGATGGCACCAAGATGACCAAAGGCTGCCCAGGGACTCAGACAGACAAGGCCTTACTCACTTCCCAGATGCAGAAGTGTTAGGGAGAGGTCCTCCAACCAGGAGGTGGATGGGCCACCCATGTGTGGAGTTGCAGGTGCTCTGCCTGCCACCCTCATGACTTCCCCATGAGCCATGGCCCACATGCCCACCCCCACTGCAGACGAGGGGCCCTGGTCATCCCCTCAACCCTGCCTGTCAACAAGGACCCAAGCATCCCTGCAGTAGCCAGGTACTCTGAAAACAAGGAGAGCAGCCTTAGAGATGGTGACAACTCCAAGAAGTCTCGCCAGCCCCTTCTCCCAACACAAAAGCAATGTCACTTAGATTGCTATTATTATCTGAGGGAACTTTAAGGATAATTACAGCCATTTACAGTGTGCCTAAAAGAGCTGCAGGCCTCCAGGAATAGCAGGGCGTAGTGTGGAAGAGGGCCCAGGATGTGCTTCCCGGAGAAGCTTACTGCCTCTGCAGAGGGCAGGGGGCGGGACACAGCCAGCAGTGCTAGGGAAGAGACAACCCCCTTGGTGGGCAGGAAAGAGTTCCAGGAAATCCAGCCTCTGACTGCCCTCCTGGAAGAACACAAGGGCGCAGCATTCACAGCCCATCCACCCAAAACTTCCTGCTGGCCTAGAACCAAGTACACAAGTGTGCTCTAGGGTTTGACCAACAAGCTTGCCCTGGACCCTCTCCTGGATGACCCACATCTCTGCCCCTGGTGAGCAGCTCCTAAACTTTCTAATCCCACAAATGAACCAGAACACTCCCTTGCCCCCAAATCCTAACCTTCCTCCTCATTGCCCCAAGGAGAACCCCAATTCCAGAGTGGGGCAAGCAGGTGCCGGAGCACCCTCCCGGGCCTGCCTCTCTGCCTGCTATTCACATGCTGTTTCCTGTGCCTGCTGGGGTCCCCAACCCACATGCATGCTCACACCAGGCCCAGGCTCACCTCTGAGCCCCAGCCCTGACTTTCTGCTCTTGAACACCTGAGAAACGCTAAGATCTGATCCAGATGCTGAGGCCTTACCATCATAATAGAAGGAGCTTCATGAGCTGCTGTTCCTGGGTGACCCCATGAGCTAGACACCATGCTAAGTGCTTTACAGATATCACCCCAATTATCCTGATAGTGGACCTTGTGGATGAGCCAGTTATCACCCTCATCTTCCAGACCACAGGCAGAACTGGATCCAGTGACTTGTCCAAGACCACATGGCTAGCAAGCACCCAGATTCATAGCAGTCTCAGTCTGTCTCCCCACAGAAACTGTGCTTTCAGCTCCGAAAAAGCCTCTCAGCACCCCTTCCCAAAACCCATCAGAAGCACTTCTCCTCTAAGGGCTTGTCCAAGACAAGAGATGTGGCTGCTGACATGCCATCCTCTCCCACCAGTCGGACCTTTTCATATTTCTATGTAATCTCCTCTCCCTTCCTAATCCATGTCCAGCAAAACCTCCTTCTGGAAAGAGGCTGCTTTCCTCCCCAGAACCAATATTTGGCCAAAACTTCACCCACAGGAGACTGAGGTAAAGATGGCCCAAGAAGGGGATGTTCAGACAGAATGTCACTATAGCCCTTTCTTCTCATCTGGGATTCTGGATGGACTCGGGGAAGGAATCCAAAGGGACAGGAAGTTGACAGTGGAGGCTGCCGGGCTATACAAGAAGGATCATTGGTGTGCTGAGAAAGTCTATCCATGTGGGGCCCTAGGATGACATTTCCATTCTCTACACCTGCTGGTGCACATCAGGTGCTCAGGGAAAGAGGCCCTGAGATTCCTTTCAGGACAGCCAGTCCTCTCACAGGGTATTTGTCAAAGAGAGAGACAAGAGCTCCTCAACTCTCCGGGCTCAGGTCCTTGGTTACACCTGTGTCAGATGCTTGCTAGATTCAGGGCCCTCTGCCCATGGGCATGAAAGGTAAGCATAGTGAGTAGGAGTTGGAGAGACCTGGCTGGTTGCTGGCCTGGCCACCTGTACGACCTCTGTGATTCATCTGTAAAAAGGGAAGGATCATCGTGCCCAATCTTTTAATAGCAGCACCAAAAGAATATAAGAAGGCATAACCCAAAGATAGGCACACAGTTTATTTCCAATAAATGCTATACTCACATTCTCGTGATAGTCCCCTTGCAAAGAGGCTGCCTCTGGCCTTATATGCCAGACTAGACCCTCTGGTCTCACCATCATAGGAGATGATGCCTGAGGCCAAGTCGCCATCCAATCAAGGCTCAAAGCAGTCAAGTTAGACTACAATTATAGTCTGCATAGCAAGGAGCAGGGTGCTGCCTCTCCTGACCCTAGGATGAATCTTTATGCAGCCCTAAGGCCCAGGCAAAGCACTTCTCCTTAAAACTGAACTAGAGTTCTCAGCAGGGAACACAGCAGGCAACAAGAACTAGAAGGTCCCTGTTAACATGAAATTTCTAAAAAGTCCTACTCACATAAACAAACCAACTTAAAAAGGCAGCCTTGACTTCTCTGGAGCTGCCTGCTTGGAGGTGGGGGGTAGGGGGTGGTAAGGTGGGGTAAGGTGGGGCTGGGGAGATGAGTCCTCGGGGACAAGTGCCTGCAGTTGGCAGAACAAGCTCACAGCTAAGAGAAATACTCCCGCCTGCAAGAACAGAGCGTACTCCAAGAGGTCCAACAGCCACGTCACATGTCTCCATGTATTTGATTAAGGACCCTTCAGTTCTGTCTGTATCCTCTGCCTGGTTGCATAACTTCACTCGCCTGCCTAAGGAGGCTGAGCTGTCTACACACTCTGCTCTCTGGCGGCTGCATCATCGGGACACTTTATTACCACCCTATGGGCTCAACACAACCCTCAGAGCCACTCTCCCAAAGAGCACACCAAGGTCTTTGCTTCCTGACTCTGCTGGTCACAGGAGAATGAAAGGGCCTCCCTGGAATGACTGTCCTCGTGGAATTCAACTGCTTCCTGTGCCAAAGTCCCTAAAAGGTCTAGACCCCTCAGCCTCCGCTTTACACGACGGCCTGCCCTGGATAGTGAGCCACATGTGTCTGTACCTTCCATGTAGGCCTCAATCTTCCGGATGAGCTCGTAGGACTTAGAGCGGTCAAGCAGGGTCCTGATGGCAGGGAGGGGGTCCAGGACGATGGTCTCAGGGTGGGCATCGATGTATTCCTGAAAGAAAATCACACTCCTTCTGGTTAGAGACCAGAGGCAGTGCTGAGCAAGACCTTCCCCACCAGCTCACTCTCATCGCACCCCCACTCCCTACACCAGCCCTGGTTACAGGGTGGGGCATCATATCACTTTGACTGGGCCAATCAGTGCACCCCAGCCCTGGGACCATGGGCTCAGGAAAGGGCATGTGATCCCAGTTGTTCTGAGCAGGGGCAGGCTCAGGGCTCCTGTTGCAAATGCCAGCACGAGCACGCTCTCCACCTCCTGGAGGGCAGCTGTGAGCACTAACCGAGAAATCTTAGGCCTGAAGGAGGCAAAATTCAAACATGCATCAGTTTTTTTCAAGTGTTTCCCCTGCACTCTCTCTAAGAATTTTTATAGTTTCATGTCTTAAGTTTAAGTCCTTTAACCAGTGAGAGTCAATTTTTGTTAGAGGAGAAAGATGTGGGTCCAGTTTCAATCTTCTACAGGCTGCCAGCCAATTCACCCAGCACCATTTGTTGAATAGGAAATCTTTCCCCCAATTTATATTTTTGATAGGCTTATCAAAGATCAAATGATGTCTGGGTTCACCTCTTGGTCTTCAATTCTGTTCCGTACATCTACCTATTTCTGTGCCAGTACCAGGCTGTTTTCATCACTATCAATTTATAGTATAGTCTGAAGTTTGGAAGCGTGATTCTCCCGATTTGTTTTTATTTCTGAGTAATGTCTTGACTATTTGAGGTTTATTGCAAGTACAAGTTGGATCTATCAGGTGTAGAACATAAACGTCTTAACACTGTAACTGGGTAAATGAGGTGAAGGCTACTGTGTTGATGAGTAGGATGTAAGCTCTCCAATTTGTACAAATAATCAACACACTGAATCCCATAATGGCATAAATGGATTCATAATCTACGTACAGATGACTTAATAAAAGAAATTTTTTTTTTTTTTTGAGACAGAGCCTCAAGCTGTCCCCCTGGGTAGAGTGCCATGGCATCGCGCTCACAGCAACCTCCAACTCCTGGGCTCAAGCGAGTCTCCTGCCTCAGCCTC